CGAGTACAGCGGTCCTGTGTCACTGATCACAGAGCAGAGCGGAGAATGGAGGTTCTCCACTCTGCTCTCCATCCTGAACTGCCTTGCCGTGGGCTGGGGTCCCCCAGAAGAATAGGGGACCCCGAAAACCACGGCACCGAAGAAGGCAGCCAGCGGGGGGGCGGACCATGGAGGGGGGCCGGACAACTCACAAGCAGGCTGCATGTAAGTGATTTCAGTGGCTCTATAGCCGCTGAAATCACTCGTACAAAACGGCTCCTCTACTTTACATTTAGCCTTGCTTGCCCCGAAGCAGTGCTAAATGTAGAAAAAAAATCCCTGCACCTTTAGGCCGCCCCACCAAGTGGCGGAATGCCAGGGCCCGGTCACAAATGCGACCTCTGCGACCCTGGTAGTACCGCCAGTGCCTTAATGCACAAAAGGGCCACACATAATATTCAGTTTATTTAATACTTTAGGTGACTGTCAGAAACAGCAGACATATTAGAGCGGATGGTGAGAGACTGCAGACATATTAAATGGCATGGTTAGAGATTGCAGACATATTAGAGGAGAAGGTTAGAGAATGCAAATATATTACAAGGCATGGTTAGAGACTGCAGACATATTAGAGGACATAGTCAGACTGAACACATATTAGAGAATATTAGATATGTTGTGCAGTTTTGTTAGAGGCTGGAAACCTGCTGTAGAAGACATCAGAAACTGGGGGGGATGTTAGAGATTGCAGTCATTACAGCCCATTACAAAGCAATGCTTCTCCTCCCACTACTGGGGTCTGCAAAGGACCTTAAAGTAAGGGCCACAAGGCCACATGTGGCCCTTGGGCTGCAGGTTGGGCACCAGGGTTATATAGTGGTTGCAATTCAGTTTATTCAACACACACAGTTATATAGACCAAGTATATTTGTGGTCCACTCCATGGTAAATAAAGCAAAAAACACTGGGGGGGATTTATCAAAACTGGAGCAGTTGCCCACGGCAACCAATCAGCATCTCTCTTCGGTTTGCTCAGGTAAGATTTGAAAATGAGACAGAGAAGCTGATTGGTTGCAGTGCAAATTCGCTCCAATTTTGTCTGCTCCAGTTTTGATAAATTCCCCCACCGTATTTAATTCCCTGTTGTTGTTTGGTATATTGAATTCCTTTGTTTTTTGTGAATTCACAGTTGCCATGTGTATCAAATGGCTTAAAAAATTATCATGTGGATCATTAATGTATATATCCATCACATGTTGTCAGATTTCCCATTCCATACAAAATCTCATATAATGATAAAACTGTCTTCTTGTATAAATCTAATAGTCTTGAAGCATCAATACGGTAAATTCAACTGTGGAAAGAACATAAATTATTATCTTCTTTCCAATGCTTGTATTCATGTAAATACACTGAGTTGAATAAAGATACACCAAAAAAACAACACTGGTGATGGTGCGATAAATGTGGAATATGATGGGGTTATCCACGGGAAATAAATAGTTATGCTCCTCGGCGCTCCATCTAGTGGCTGTAATGGAGTATTTTACATATAGCACATTCGAATTGAAAAGAAAGAAGAACATTCGTTTTGGGCTTCTTGGCCTTTTGGCTAAGATCAAGTGTAGTATCTGTTCTTATCAGTTTCCGGTGGGGAAAAGAACCGTTCTGTCGGGGGGATGGTTACTTAGTACTTGCTGTAGTGAAGGTTGATGTTTGAGGCGGCTCCTTTTGAGAAGGGGGAGCTTCCTCGGCACTACTGCCTCCTGATACGGATGGGTTCTTGCTTGGTCTGACTGGGTGGTTCGGGAGGTGCACAGGCCCACGATGCTGTGCCCCCTGGGGGTGGCGTCCCAGGGGTGCCAGAAAATCACTAGGGGGTGGGACCCCACAAGTGATTCACCTCCACTAGGACACGGCGCCTAATGCTTTTTCTGCACTACGCCTCTTGGGCAGACCTTCTGGCTAGCCCGGGGCAATTTAATACCTGGCCGCAAGGCCTGCCACGTCTAGCACTGGAACTATTTATTTTTAGCACTTATTTATGCACGCTTAGCACTTTGACTCACAGATGACGGAGGGTGCGGGTAACTTCGGGGGCCCGTCCTGATGTTAGGGAGGAGGCTCTCTGACCTTCATATAGGACTCTCTGACTTCTCCTACCTCGGCGGTCTCTCTTCGGGGGAGCCCCTTACTTAGTACTTGAGGGTCCTGTTTCGGCAGGACCCTGAGGAAAGGGGTCCGCCGGCCTTCGGGTAGGTGGACCAGAGTCTTCCTTGCCCCTGTCAGGAGCCTTGCGCCCCCGAGGGGATTAAGGATTATCGAGGCCCTTCCTCTTCGGAGGATGACCACAGCACCCTCGTGCACTTTTTTTTTAGTGTGTTGTGATTTCACGATTCACTTTTTTTGTTCACAGGGGATGTTTTATGAAGCACATACCACGAACTACAAAAGAAGAAAACAACAGGTCAATATCTGCAAGGAGTTTGCATGTTCTCCCTGTGCTTGTTTCCTCCAGGTACCCTGGTTTCCTCCCACACTTCAAAGACATGCTGGAAGGTTAATTGGCTCCTGTCTAAATTGGCCCCATGTATGTGTGAATGTGCGATAGGGACTTTAGATTGTAAGCTCCTTGAGGGCAGGGACTGATGTAAAAGTGCTGTGTAAATTGTCAGCGCTACATAAATACCAATATTAAATAAAAAAAAAAAACACAACCAGATTGAACATGACACAGAGTAAACGTACATACATATGTTGTTCACCAAAATGATGAAAGTTGCCCAGGATTGTAAACAGTCACTGCTCCACATGTATGCAAAGATCAATCTGCATAACAGCGGATGTACACAGAGGTTTCAGGCTGACCAGAGTATAGAACTTATCACTACATACACAATCTTTGCATTGATTTTCAGTGACTTCCTACTGCAATCAATGGGTTTTACACACACAGTATCACAGTATCACAGTATATGAATTTGGGGACAAACTCCTCAATGTGACACAAATTACTTCAAAATGGTATTGGTCTTATTAACTGCCAGCACTGAGCAGTGACTAATAACAAACCTTGTGAGCATTGTTATAAATACTGTATTAATGTTACAGACACAAATTCCCTGTAGAGGGGCTGAGCGCTGTCATGTGGATTGATCTTTGCATACTTGTGGAACATTAACTATTTACAAGCCTAGGAAACATCGATCACGTTGGTGAAATACGAATGTGTATTCTACGGTTTTGTATCATGTCCAATCCAGGTTGAGTATTTTATGATGACTTCGTTCTATGAGATGCACATCTTGTTTGGAACATAATGAGGGGGATGTGTCAGAAGTGGAGCTGACAGAATCTGGCGCAGTTGACACTACACACGGGAGTTAAATCTTAAAAATGCATTCAAGTACCTTAACTATTAACACAACTGTGCCTTATTTGTGTATCACTCGGCTATAGATCCTCAAATCATCTCTGAATTGGTGCTGACACTGTCCTTCCTTCTGGAAGGTGGCTACTTTTGTTCCCCATGGACCCTGTATGTGTTGTAAAGTAGTCACCGCTATGACCACAAATCATACGTGTGGTTGAATTGCGGTAACAGTAAATAAACCCTTTGCTTCTATGGGTCAAACATGTGCAGGGGTCAGGAGGTTGTAACGCAGAATGCAGGAGTCAGGAGTGCATGAAGCAGAGAGCAGGTCAAGCATTTGCAGGAATCAGGAGTATGCAACATACAGAGTGCAGGGGTCAGGAGTAGGTAACACATGGTATAAAGAGGTCAGGAGCAAAAACTGATTGGAGTACAGGGGTCATGCGTAGGTAACGCATGGAGTACAGGGATCAGGAGTAGGTAATGAATGGATTACAGGCAGTGGCGGAACTACCGCCGGTGCGGGTGGTGCCGCCGCACCGGGGCCTGAGGCTGTGGGGGGCCCAGTGGGGTCCGGTCCTGGGCACCCCCACAGCCTCAGTGGGGTCCAGTCCTGCAATATGGGGCAGTGCAGGACCGGGGCCCCGCATTGCCGATGGGCTTCTCAGTGAGGGGGCTGGTCCTGTGACTCACCTCCTCTCCCGGCCG